GAGCAGCTAAAACACCAACTGCAGCCCCAGTCCACTCCCAACCACCTTTGCCCCGTATTCCGCTACACCCTTTCTTCCAGACGCCATGACCTATTCCCTTCCCCCCAAGCCGAATCTAGTTGAATTTTAGTAATTGCTTCGGCACGTATTCGCTGAGACAAGACGCGCGAAGTCAAGCTGAGCGTCCCCGAAATGCCATCTGGTTAAGGGGGTTACCATCGCGCACAGTACATAGCACTTTTATAATTTCCCCGGACACCCATGCAGCGAGTGCACAACGTCCTAAAACGAACTACGGATACACGTACATTAAACGCCACTCTCCCAGGCTACAGTGAACCTTTCACCCATACCCTTCACCCCAGGACTGATCAGCAAATCACTCGACGAAGTTTACAGTTACATTATTTCGATGAAGACGATGAAGAAAACCGATGAATATGCACATGAAAAAAAAGACCAGACGAACAGTCGCAAGCCGACCAAACCCCAACAACTGCAAACCGAAACCCAATAATAACACACGTAATTGGACACGTTGCAACCCAGCTCGCTCTTAACGTAACCCAAGTCTGAAACCATTAAATTCCTATCCATGAAAGCACTACCAGGCGGGGCTTTGCTACTCTATATTATTGGGTTTTACTACTTTGCTACTCCAATGCAAGTACAACCCTTGACCTGGTTGTAAGCAATTTCAACATAAGTCACGGCACATACGTCTCTCTGACTAGTTTTCATAACTCCATCTGGCCAGATGTGACGCATAAAATGATTAAAATATAGATCTGCTTCATCATGGTAGCAGCAAAACAGCAATCGCAGCCGGCAGCCAAGATCGGATCCTCACGATTCGTAGCGGAAGAACGTAAATACTTACTGGGAGACCACTGCACGTACTCAACACATCAAATGAAGCCATCTTTATGATAATTTGAATTTACAATGACCCAGTAACACAGATAGTGCGCATTTGATCTACTAGTGTGATTTAATAATGATATTTAAGGGGAAAATGAAATAAATAAAAGATAATTAATAAAGCCAACGCGAGCACAAATCGTATTAAAGCAGCACT